CTTGCCCAGGGTTCTAACATGCTGCTCCAGGCCCTGGGATTCTGCCAACCCTAGCCATTAGCACCCCAGCTAAGCAGTGCAATGTTAGAGACCTCTCTCACAATTATCCATCACCATCTAGGCAGGGGTGTTGCTGACTGACACCCTGATTAGATGGGTATGGCAGAGCCTGTGTGACTGGGAGACCATCCCCTCCCCCTGTCTGGTAGGAACTGGTAGCCCTGGAGTGCACCATCATTAGCAGAGTGGCCAGGCCTGGGCCCTTAGAAAACCTTAGTTCAACCTGCTCCCCCACCTCTCCAAGGTCTTGCATACTCCCTTGTACCTTCAGTTTGGGCGTCTCCCGACCAACAAGGTCTGCAAAGCCGTCCCTTTTCCAGGCTCACAGATTGCCTTGAGCAGTGGAATCGATTTGAGGGAATGCCATCCTGGAAGGTCCCAAATGGGGGTGGGACACCTGCAACAGAGCAGGCAGCTCCCGTGGCTCCTCCAACCCCAAAGGGCAGGACCAGGAGGCTCATTACCCTTAGAGGACCTGACTGGTCCCCTTACAGGGCCCACGCCTTCCCTCCCAGCTCCACGGCAGGTGACATGCACCTCTCTGAGTTTAGGGTCCCCTCTGTACAGTGGGCAGGACTGGCCTAAAGCTCTCTAGGTACCCTTTGGCCAGAACCCTTTGGAACTCCTGGCACTGAAGCAGGTGTCCTCTTTGTCTTCCAGATTGTGGCAGCATCATGTAGTGCTCCCTACCTTGTTCCCAGGCACACCATGAACCACCCTTTCTCATACTCTAGGGTTCTGGCTACAAGCTTTGGCTACAGCAGCCTGGCACTACACTTGCCTCCTTCAGGCTAACTTCTCTGGGCTCAAAATTCACAGGAAGAACCAATGCATGAAACACAAACTTAATTCACTTTAATCTGCCAATGAGGACTGGCTGTGTGGATCCCCACTTCATTTAAACATTTAAAACATGGATCCATTGCATAAGTCCTAAAGCTGATGTCTTAGCCTAAGAGCATATTGGCCAACCAGGCAATGGTGGCGCACGCCTTTAATCCCAGTACTTGGAAGGAAGAGGCAGGTGGATCTCTGTGAGTTCAAGGCCAGCCTGGTCTACTGAGCTAGTTCCAGAACAGACTCCAAAGTTACACAGAGGAACCCTGTCTCAAAAAACCTGAGAGAGCCGGGCGGTGGTTGCGCACGCCTTTAATCCCAGCATTCAGGAGGCAGAGGCAGGTGGGTCTCTGTGACTTTGAGGCCGAGCTGGACCGACAGCCTTCAAAACAATACAGAGAAACCCTGTCTTGTAAAAACCAAAAAAAAAAAAAAAAAAACCAAACCAGAGATAGAGAGAGAGAAAGAGAGAGAGAGAGAAGAGCTGGGTGTAATGGCACACACCTTTGCATTGCACAGGCTAGGGCAGTAGATGTATATGAGTTCAAGGCCAAGGCCAGCCTTGTCTACATATCGAGTTTCAGGACAGCCAGGGCTATGCAGATAGACCCTGTCCAAACAAAAAGCATTTTCTTTAAAGTGAAGCTCACTTTTCCCTGTTCAGCTTTTGCCCCCAAAGTGCTTTCACTTCTTTCCAGTGAACACCTGGAAGACAGACAAGTGCTAAGCTAAACAAACGGGACCAGAGACAAGGCTTAGATCCTTTCTGCTGAGAACTGTCATGGTAGAAACTTCACCCCAGGCTCTGGCATTCATATACCCAAAGAGTCTGGGATGTCATGTGGAAGTTCTCCCCAAGCCCCCCTCTCCCATCTCCCCCCAAACCCTGCTGCATCTCAGAAAGCCCACCAAATAATTGTAACTTCCCCAGAGATGCTCAAGACTACTCCCACAGGGTATTTAAACTGCCCTCCAGAAAACAGACCTGTGGTTTTATGGTCTCTTTCCTATCTCCTTTCTGGGGGACTGGAAGGCCATCCGGGAGCTCTGTATCCATTAAACGTGGGCTTTTTCTAATTTGGTCTGATTTGGGTTGCTGTATCGGCAGGGAGGCTTATCGGGGTGTAGAAACTTTTCACTGACTCCTTCAAGTTGTCCTCTGACACACACAGACACACACACACACACACACACACACACACACACACACACACACGTGTATATACAGGATGGCCTTGATAGAGGTCTAAGGGTGGAGACAGGCTATTTGATGAAGCAAGAACAGAGTTCTCAGCTAGAGGCCTAGCTTCAGACCACCTCACCCAATACCAGTTCTCACCTCGCGTGTGTTCTAGCACTGAGTTTGGACTATGTGACCTCAGCCAGGGCCCTCACTGTCTATGAGCCTGAGTACTCCTGACTGAGGTGGATCAACCCTGTTTTTCTGTCCCTGGTATGTGGCCTCCTGGATTCCTGCTTTTTCCAGTCTAGTTTCTCAAGGAGCCAAGACTGTCCTGATACCACCCATCAGTCAATCAAGCCCTTCTTGTGAAGGCTGCAGCCCTGTCTCTAAGGAGCTTTCTGTCAAGGCCTCACAGTTCCCCAACTATGTCCTGTTATCTACCTCACCAGCAACTGCCCCGCAAGGCTTAATCCTTCCACGGGGGGGGAGGGGGAGGAGGGGGATGGGGGGAATAGGGGGTGGGGGTGGGGGAGTGGGGAGGTGGGGGGAGTAGACAAGCAGTGAAAGATCAAGAGATTTCGTCAGGTCATACAACCACTTTTAAATGCCACGCCAATGACACAGGAAGCCAGGCCACAGACTAGGTGGGGCAAGAAACGAGAGAAGGGGCAGGGTTCATTGTAATTTGCAGTGAATGGTGACTCCTACCCTTAGGTCTAGTGCTGCAGAGTCCCTGTGTCATCTGGCTTGTGCCTCCTCTCCTGGCCTTGGGCTCTGAGGGGCTGTGAGGGCACCTCCGTCCTAGATACCAGTGGTCTGAAGTAGAGTGTCCCATTTAAGAAACTGTAAAAGCTGTTTCTTGGAAGGAAGCAGGAACAGGCAAGTACAGACCCTGCAAAGTGGATGAGCAGGCCATAGCTTTGGCAAAAGGCACTGCTGTCTAGAATATTCCAGAATCCAGAATGGTCTAGCAGAGAAACTTTTTTTTTTTTTTTTTTTTTTTTTGCTATGTACCTGCAGGGAGTGGTAGAACTGGCTGTTGGATGCCAATGCTGTCACTCAAAGCCATGTGGCCCTGGAAGTTCCCTCCTTTGGGCCTGCTATTTGTTCACCTGTGCAAAGTGGACGGGACACGGGGTCAGTGAAGGGTTATAAGTAGTAAGTATATGGGACTCCACCATCCACCACACAGACAGCCCTTCTTTCTTTTGCTTTGTTGAGACAGGCTACACAGCCCTGCCTAGTCTTGAACCAGTAGGCCTGGCCTCAGACTCCCAAGTAAGAATATATATGCCAGGTTCTGTTTTGTTTTCTTGAAAGAGATTTTAAATGTCTCACTTTTAGCTGGGTGGTAGTGGTGCACACCTTTAATCCCAGCACTTGGGGGGGGCAGAGGCAGGTGGATTTCTGTGAGTTCAAGGCCAGCCTGGTCTACAGAGCGAGTTCCAGGACAGACTTCAAAACAACAATACAGAGAAACCCTGTCTCAAAAAACCAAAAAAAAAAAAAAAAAAAAGTCTCCCTTTTAGAGGCAGAGTATCCCTGCTGCCCAGACTAGCCTTGAACTCTTAGCTCAAGGAAGCCTCCTGACTCTGCCTCCTAAACACATTGACTACAGATGTGTGACACAGCACCCAGTGTTTCAGTTCTCTGTTTTAATCTGCACAGTCATTCAGCTATCCCTGCAACAATAAAATCAACCCACTGCTCTCCAACAGACCCTCAGTGAACCCTATGGCATCACAGGCTGTGGTCAAGCTAGTTAGGTTTAGGTAACTGTCCTGGTCTAAGGACTGACTGAACCATTTGTGATGTTGTTGGGAACAGAGTAGGAACAGGTCGGGGAGCATGCAAGGCTTCCAGCTACCTCTCCTTCATCCAAGCATGGGGACTGGAGGCTGCAGTCTGCCCTTCACAGGCGTTGGGCCTGTTTCCTCAGCATCTGCTCATGCATACCTTATAGGTGGTCTGCCAGGTAAAGGGGAACATGCCCCATTTTAAAGATGAAAAGAGTGAGGCTCAGATGGGATATCAGCACCATGGGAGTCCCACAGAGACAACTTGAAGGCCATTGACCTTGATTAAGACTTGAATTGCAGCGCCCTCTAGTGTCTGCCTATCTCTTATTGCAAGGAAGCCCCTAGTTTGCTCTCTGAAAGGTGAGACCACTGTATCAGAGACACAGCTCCCATCCCTGCTTTCCATTTCCCCAGGATTCTTGCTCTTAGAAGGAGAGAGCTGGCCGGGCGTTGGTGGCGGTGCACACCTTTAATCCCAGCACTCAGGAGGCTGTCCTGGCCTTGATCTCATAGAGGTCTGCCTGCCTTTTCCTGGAGGCAGACTGCTGGAGTGCTGGGTTTAAAGGCATGCTCCACAACAGCCCTGCTGATGTGTCCTTCTAATACCCAGAGCTTCCCAAGCATCAGGTAGATGGAAAGATAAATGGATGCCCTGGTCTGGGATTAAAAAGTCATACCTTCTTCGCCATGAAGTCTACTCTAAAGCCCTTCCTCCTGTACCTACAAGGACAATATTGCCAAGTATATTAGCAATGGAGGGATGATTGTGGGGGCTCAGTGGGGTTTTCAAAAGGCCCTGTGGGGTGAGAAACTGGAGTCTGGAGACTACGCTACTGTGGGCGTGTCCTCCTTTTCTTTGTTGTGGGCGTGTCCTCCTTTTCTTTGTTGGTAGTGGGGTGCTGGGAACTCTGCCTGGTACTTGCTGCCTTTTGCTCCCTCTGAATCCCTCCTGGAGCAGGGCCTTTCATCTTCCCTTCTAACTCTAGAGAGGGATCAGGTCATCCGTAGGTGCAGGGCTTCTCTGAGTATGTCTGTCAGAAGTGGGAACAAACAAGAGGTGGGACCTTGGGATGTCCCATACTTAGGCAGAAGCAATCCAAACCTCAAGGCCATACCAAGGATGCCTAATCTCACTGGCATTTATTCATTCCATTGGAGTAAAAACCTGATGATCTGGGAGCTCAGGAAGGGTGTTCAAAACAAGAAAAGCTCAAGTCCACTTGGCTCAAACAGAAAGGTTTCCATTGGCTCTGGCCCTAAAGGTTAGAGGTAGATCTCAGGACTGGCCTGATCCAGGGGCTCTGGGCTCACTCTTGCAGGATGTCCTGAATGTGACTTCCTTCACAGGCTGACTTCCCATGAGAGGCGTGGCTGTCACAGGTGTGCACCCACTCCTAAAATGTCCTGACCAGGAGGGGCATCATTGAAATCATCTTGAGGATCAGAGACACTGTTCCTCAACTAGTTGGCCTACCAGCTGCCAGACTTGGGTCCTCTGCCCTCCTAGATAGAATCCTTTGTGTCTAGGGGACTCTGGGTGACGGCTGAAGTGGTCTAGTGCTGTCTTCATGGTATGTGCTCATCCTGTAATCATCCAGAACCATCTGAACTAGACATGGGGTTAGCTTGCTTCTCAGTCAACTGTGTGTTGGGTGGGGTACCACTAGAAGCAAGGGAACTGAGAGTCAGGTAACTAGGTAACCAGCCAGGAGACTAGAAGAGATTAAGGCAGTTCCTTCCCCATCCTGGGCCTAATCACACAGTGGTCACAGGCTAGGAACACACTGGCACCAAAGCCTCAGAATTGGGAAGTAACCCAGCAGAAAACCGTTGCTTCTATCCTGTTCCTCTGTCGGTGAGGGCAGAGGCTTGCGATGGTGCTCTGTGACAGCAGGCAGCAATGGAGCACTCTCCCACCAGGGTGCAGCGCAGTAAATACACATGTTGAACAGAGCCACTTCCAGCAAGTGTCCCCGGAAATGGAAGACACCACATATTTTCCCTGTAAAAATTATGTGTAACTTCAGTTTTAAAGTATTCTTATTTATATATGTTAAAACGCTGTTTTTCTGTACTGCATGCATACTGTTAAAACTGTGAGGAGAGGGGCTGGAGAGATGGTGCTGCAGGTAAGAGCACATACTGATCCGGAAGAGGAGCTGAGAGTTTGGTTCCCAGCACCCATGCTGTCAACTCACACCCACCTGTAATTCCAGATCCAGAGGGGATCCAATGTCTCTTGCCTCTTTGGGCACCTGCACTCACATATTCACATGCAACATACCGACACACACACACACACACACACACACGTTAAAAATAATAATGAGACTATACATGTGTATACACATGTAACACTTTGGAGACCCAGAGTAAACTCCAAACTTCTGTGTTCAGCAGCATAACAGGACAGAAGGGAAAGAATGGGTAGAAGGAGCCCCGTGAGACATACACTACATTGATCGTGGCTCTGCGTGAAGCCCTGACGACTTTCCCCTCTGGACCTGCAGAAGCAATTTCCACAAGTCTTGGGTGGCAAGTGTGAGCCCCACAGCAATGGTCTTAATCCCATGGACAGGGTTGTGCTCAGTGGCAGCTGTGCCTTCATCCATTGCACTGTATGGGCTCGGAGCTTGACCACAGTCCCTGAGCAAGGTTGGGAGCTCGGGTGCAGCCCTGCAGCATCGACTAGTCTTTCCCCACTATTCCTTAAGATGAATGTTCTTACTGCTGCTCTTATGATCTTCCTATAGAAAGCTTTTCCTGGGAGGACCCCAAGTCCTCTTTAGAGCAAGTTGGGGTGTTAGCATTCTGTTCCTGGAGTTGAAAAGCCTTGGTTCCCTGGTTCCATCCTTTACCTGGCTCCTTCCCCAAATCAGCTTCAGTTTTGTCAGAGGCTGCCAGCATGCAAAAGCTTACCACCTGTGAAAGGGGGAACCCAGAACATGTGGGAACTCAGAAGAACACCCAAGTCCGCTACCCAGGTTGGAACTTCCAGAAAGAGGTGACAGCTGGGCTGACTGCTGGGCACCAGGCAGGAGCCACGAGCAGGGCAAGGAAGAGGCAGGTGGGGGCCTTCAGCAGGGAGGCCTCCAGGGCCAATATGCATTGTTAGCAGATGCCTTTGGCTTGCTGCAGGAGGGACAGGGAGATCAGGATGGGGACAAAGAGACCAAGAAGAGGTGGATGTGGCCACCCCAAAGATATAGGACTTGGCCATGCCTAAGCAGAAGCAGGCTCAGGAACCTGAATGCAGGACTTGGAACTGTGCCAAAATGGATTCCCAGATGTCAGGGGGACAAAAGTGGCAGCAAGTGCTAGGATGAGGTGTAAGAAGCTGAGAATAGGTCACACTTGGGCCAGGCCTAAGCTGTAGCAGCTGAAAGACAGAGAGGTGGTAATCTGGACTCTCCAGAGAAGCCAACTGAGAGATACAGATGGGTGGGTGGGTGGATGGTGGAAAAGGTGGCATGGTGGGTGAGTGGATCAATATATGGGTGCGTGGGAGGGTAGGCAGATGGCAGATGGTGGTAGATAGATAGGTGGGTGGATGGATGGATAAATGGATGGGTGGTGGAATGGTGGATGAATATTTAGATGGATGATGGATGTGGGTGACACAGCAGATGAATAGGTGGGTGAATGGTTAGATTGCTGGATGGGTGGGTGGTAAAAGGATGGGTTCAGTGTGTTTGCCCAAGTGAGGGGGGCAGAGTAAAGAGAGATCAGGGCTGGAGAACCCAATGGCAGGGGTGAGAGTCAGAACAGAGGAAGAAACCGGAGTCTACTGGGGACAGCAAGACAGATAAATGTAGAAATGTACCCACTCTGCAGAGCCACACAGGGCTCCCAGGGTATGACAGCAATTGGGCCGGGTGGAGCCCAAGGCAGATGAGTGGCACTAGGGTAAATGGAGCTGTGCAGGTGTCACAGTGGGTGTGGATGGCTCCTTAGAGCATGAGGACCCTAGGAGGCAGACATCGCAGTTGGACAGGCCGTGGTCTCAGGTTGGTTTTGGCTTTGCTTTCATATGCAGAAATCAGAACACTTACCTTGATTTTTCCCTGGCAGGACATTTTGTATTATCATGAGCCACATGACCCTCTGCTCCCAGTGCCTTGTCTAGAACCTGTAAAAGAAATCCTGGTGGAGATGGCCCAGTGGTGTCACTTAAGGGAAACTGGCCTTGTTCATAGTCTTGGTGAAACTGTGGGTCAGATGCACTCTTCACCAGGACATCATGGGATGACAGAAGAAGGAGCTGGGCCTGTGGAGCCTGGAGTGAGGTGTGCAGGAAGGGGCTGAGGGTCAGCTTCCCCCTGTTCCACAACACACATCCTCTGGGACCCGTTCTCTACATGAAAGAGGGAGGATTCTTGGTTCACCCAAGAAAGCTATTGGTTGTCAGCCTGTGACAGGTGGCAAATGACCATAGGCTTGGAGTTGCTCAATGACACCAAGTCCAGGCTCAATTTAGATGGGTCCTTTCAGGTCCCAGGACAAGAGCTGATCTCTCCATCAGGGACAGCTGTCGTCTAAGACACCACTGAGCTGTGTGACCTCATTGTCATTGAATGGGTACACCACCAGTAAATGGGACGTGTGTCTGACAGAGTCCAGGGGATTCTGACCTTGGGGACCTGGTTCTGGTGACCTAGTTTTGTTCCCACTTTGTTCCTCCTGCCCCAGAAGCCTGTACACCTGCCTATTCCTTCCCAGGGCAGCATCCACAGTTCTGGAGGGATCACGGGGTTCCTTGTGGAGTCTGAGACCGGACGCCTCATATGTTGGGTTGAGTTACGCGTCCCCCAAAACCAAGTCCTAGCCCCTCCTTCCCACACGGGGCTCTGCTCTGCCTGCTTTGTAGAGGGACAGCATTTCTTAGCTGGAGCTGGCCTGGTTCTCCCTGCTCAAAGCCCCGGTACTGATCACGGCACTGCCCACATTCAGGGTGGCTCCTCCCATCTCAGTCACACTCCTACAGATGCCCTCTCATGCACAAGGCCTGAGATGGTTCTAGACTCTTCCAAGTTGACAGTCAATGTCAGCCACCACAGCATATGACTTTGACAAGGCTATTGAGGATGTCAGAGTTAGGGTGAGCAGACTAGGATAGGCCTCAGCCCAGCACAGCTGGATCCTTACGAGAAGGGAAATGCGATGGGGACACCCAGAGGACGGGCAGAGCGTGAAGAGGAAGGGGTGCTCCTGATAAGACAAGGAGAGGGGCCCAGAACAAAGCAGCCTCAGAAAGGGCAGCCCTCCGGCCACCTTGAGCTTCCATCCTTTAGGTTTGGGAGAAGACATTTCTAAGGGGCTCGAGCCCACCTTCAGCACAGCCTGTGGTATTTGTTACACAGCCCTCACAGGGCTTGTTCATCCAGTGTTTGCTATGTGCTCTCCTTCCCACACACTCCCGGCTCCTCCTCTGCTTCTGCTGCGTGAGTACAGCCTGTCCAGTGGCTAGCAGTTTGGGGCCTCGTGTGTGTTACTTCTCAGATGTGACCTTGTGCTCTGCCTCTTTCTAGGGCTCAGATCAACCATGGGCCTCGGGGCCGCGATGGCTCAGTGATGGAAGACACGCTGTTGTACCTGTACATCACTTCATACCAGCATCAGTGGGAAGCAGGAGCAGTCCGGGCTGATGGCCATCATCCCTGCATCCCCCCCTTTCTCTGTACCCCAGGAAGAACTTAGGTGAGCCATGGTGGGCCTCAGCTGTCTGCCCAGGTGTGGACACTGCTTTTGTTTGTTTTTCAAGACAGGGTTTATCTATATAGCCTTGGATATCCTGTAACCTACTGTGTAGACCAGGCTGGCATCGAACTCACAGAGAACCACCTGCCTCTGTCTCCCTAGTGCTGGAATCAAAAGTGTGTACCACACCCCCAGCTGGCTGCGGAGACTGCCTTTGACAGAGCAGTGCAGAGCAGTGAGTTGGCTGCTGGCCTCTCTCTTGGTTTCACATGGCATGACTTTAAATTATTGAGTGGTTGGGAAGGCCCACAATGACATCCTATTTCATTTGTTTCTCTCCTGGGCTGTGAAGAGATCAATGCTTCCGCTCCATGTGGGGCCATGGCTTAGGCTGGTCCTGCCCCTGGAGAGGAGGTCTCCCTCTGCCATGGCTGCCTTACAGGCAGGAACTGAGCACTGCTACATTTCCAGACCCATACCTTTCTAGACCAGGTCCCAGGTGAGCCTCACTGCCTTGTGGCACACTGCCCAGAGTCACCCTAAGGGAAACTTCCTCAGACCCAGGGAGATGGGCAGGAGGCTGTAGAGGCTTGACAGGTCTAGCCTCTTTCTTTTATGGAGTGGGGGTGTCAGTAGAGTCGCAATGTGGGGCACACATTGACCCCATAGTTCAGTGGCATCTTTTCCTTGGGTTAGAGACCCCAGGGGTCTCTAGAGACCAGGAGGTGCACTATGGACACTAAGATGAGGAAGGCTTACTGTCACCTGGCAGCGATGGAGCCAGGCAGGAGATGGAAGCTGAGGCTCTGAAGTCACATGGTGGTGATCAGTGAGGACCTGGACACGGAGGACACTGACTTAGCAGGTTCAGGAGAGCCTGCTACAGGGAGAAGGCTTAACTAGAGCCCATAGGGTTAGCCTGTGCTTTCCAGAAGAGTGGGCATTCCTGTCAGCCAGAGGCAGAGCACAAGGTGTGACCCAGTAGAACAGTACTCCTGGTTTTTTGTTTGTTTTGGTTTTGGTTTTTTGAGACAGGGGTATCTCTGTGTAGCTTTGGAGCCTGTCCTGGCATTTGCTCTGTAGACCAGGTTGGCCTCGAACTCACAGAGATCCACCTGCCTCTGCCTCCCAAGCACTGGGAATAAAGGCGTGCGCCACCATCGCCTGGCAGGACTCCTGTTTTAACCACTTACTTCATGTGTGTTCTTAGAGTCTTACGTCCTTTGCAGGCAATGGCAGATTCAGGAGGGCACAGCACCAATGACCCAATGGCTCACTCTTCTGGGTACATTCTAATATTCTAATGGTCATACTTGGTAATAGTGAGTGCCTCAGTTTCTCTTTCTGTAAAATGTTAGTGGTGACAATGGAGATGTTAGGACCCTTGAGACAATGCATCTAAACCATAGGGTTTGGCACAGAGGCACAGCAGTCCTGGCTGCTCAAGTACAATTTCACACCCATCCTCCATTTCTCTGCTTTGAGCCAAGCCTCATGTAAGGTCCATCCAACTCTGGCTGCCACTGGGGTCTGACTCTCTGCCATCTGCCATCACCCTACCTGCTGTCTCCAGGAGGCTGACACTAGGGGCTCCACCTGCTGTCCTTTCATGTTTCTGGGGACCTTGTATCTGAAAAAGGAAGTGAATACTCCCAAGACAAACGCTCTTTGTTTTGAAGCAAAGCAGCACGGCAGGGACCTGAGCTTGTCCTCTGGGCGCTGGTGGAAAAAGAAAGAGCCTTCATCATATCCACAGCCCACATGTCTCAGGAAGCCTCACAGGCCCCAACCATGAAGAAACTTTCCTTCAAGACATGGCAGGATGGGCTGAGCTTGCTAGCTGCGCTGTCAGATTCAAGATCATTTGTTTCCCTCATCTTTTATCTTCATGCTTCCAGGAACACACTCATGTTTATAACCTGTTGCCCAAGAGAAAGCAGTGTCTGGCTCATACTACTCAGAACTAACTAGCCCACAGGCCAGGGGCTGTTTATTTGTTCTGTGCCTCATCCTATAGAATCTACGTTCCACAAACAATGGTTAGGCTACTCTCCTGAGGGCCAGAGTGACATAGCACCCTTGGATGTCACCGGGGGCTCTGACAATCCCGCCCTGTCTCCTGTGCACCCCGCCCCCTTCTTCCTTGGCTTTCGGCATGACTTTGAATGATCTAGCAGCTCCAACATCTCGGCCTGATGACACAAGAGATCTCCCCAGATTCCAGGCTCCAAGTGAGGAGAACACAGTGGGGACATGGGTCCTTAAATGCTTCTTAACCCGAAAGAAGGCAGATCCCATGAGAGGCAGCCGTGTGCAGACAGCCTTCCTGAAAGGGCACGGGCCACTGATGCCTCCTGAAGATGCCAGCAGCCCCAGGCCTTGGGCCACACCCACCCCTTTCCTGGTGCCCTGGTGCCTGGAAAAGATCCACTTCTAGGGTTTTCCAGAAACAGAGACTAGCCAAGGTGAGTGTGCTATGTTTACTTCTGTTGCTGTGACAACACACCTGAGCCAGGTAGGTTTTTAAAAATAGAGGTCTGTTTGGCTCATGGTTCTGGAGGCTGGATATTCAAGAATGTGTCTCTCACATCTGATCTGCATCTGCCCCTGAGTCTCAGTGGTCAGTGAGAGGGCCATGGTCTGGCTGTAAAGGGTGCAGAGCTTCCTGTGTCCTCCTTGAAGCCTCTGGTGCCCTCTCCAGGCAGGCTGCTCAAACAGCAGCAGTGGAACTTGACAACAGTGAATCATGGGACTTGATTTTCCCAAGTCATTGTTGGCTGAAATCATGGTCAAAAGCCCTATCATCTTGACTATTGTTTATTCAGCATTGGCTCTAGGCTAGCAGCTTTGAACAGTTTTCCTTGTATTAGTAATTTAACCCAAGGGTATTCATTGTGACTGGAAAGGTAGGGAAATTGAGGCACTGAGCGAAAGCATGGGTCAACCATGGGTCACAGCCCTGCAGACTCAGAACAAAGGTCTAAATTTAATCTATTCAAATAGACTGATTTGCTACAAGTCAAATCCAGTCCTGCAGGGTTCTGGGCAGCTGAGTCAGCCCTACCTTGGTTATCAACTTCCTGGGTGATTTGGTTTTCTGGGCAAGAGATCCCAGAGTCAGACCCCGCTCTTTGTGGGTACCTGCTGCTTCAAGAACAGCTGCCAGCAGCGTCTCCTGATTTACAGGACGGGAGGTATATGCTGCTCCCCCAAGGCTTCTGCTCTTCGCCACAGCCTCTGGCCGCCTGGTCCCCTTTGAAATAGACGGGTGTTACTGATCACTGGGGAGGAATTTCTGCTCCTGCCCCAGCACTACTTTGAACAATCCTGACTGGGGCCTAATGCCCGTGGCTCGTGCCTCTCCATGCAGCGGACGGCTTGTACGCTTCCACTCTGGGCGCTGCGCATCCGTGCTCTGTCCTCTCTCTAGCCTGTTTCCTCTCAACGTCTTGTGCCCACCTGTTGTCACCACCGGCGCGCGGCAGAATCCACCTGTGCCTCCCCACGCAGACTCTCCTGTCAGTCTGTTTCCACGCCTTGCGCTGGACGCCTGACGTCACAAGGGAATCGGTCACCCTGTGGGCAGGATGGCGAGAGGGCAGGACGTGCCAACGTCTCCTCAGTGTGCACCGCCCAGCGTCAGCTGAGCCATATGAGCGACGCCTGCGGCGTAAGGCGAGGTGGCCAACAGCTTAGTCCCGGAGTCTGGATACCTGCACCGGGATCCCAACCCGTCAGGACCTCGCCCTGGGTGTGTGTGTATCATTAAATACTGCTCCTGATCTGCTTCCCCGCCCCGCCTCAGTTTCCCCATTTCTGTGCACTGTGAAGGAAGGGACGATCTGGTTCCGAGGTCTTCCATCACTCCAGGACAGTTACTCCAAGATCTCTTTTCCCTGCGCCTTCCTCTTCGCGATCCCAGTACTGAGATGAGCCACAGTCCCCTTGTCTCCCTTAGACCGTGTTGACAGCTCCGCAGATCTCTAGAAGCAGGTGCGGGAGGGCACCTGCCCTGCCTCCAGCCTGCGCCTGCGCGGACCGCACAGCCTTTTGGGACTCGTAGTCCTCACGTCCAACCGCGGTGGCACGCAGGCGGGCTGTGGGGGGCGTAGCGCCTACACTTCCCAGGGTACGACCCTCCCGCGGCACATCGAGGGGAGGGGCCTAGCTGAGGGGCGGGGCGGGGGAGGGGGCGGGGCGGGGCGGGAGCCCCGAGCTGCGGTGGCGCTGCGGGCAGAGGGTGCTCCAAGCCTCTGGCCACAGGCGCGCCGAGGATCGTGCGAGCGCCGCACCTGCGGGCCCGGTTGTCGGGCTGTCGCAGCGCGGGGACCGCCCTATTAGGAGCTGTCGCTGACATGAGTGCAGGTGAGTGCTGCGACTGAGGATCTGCTGGTTCAGAGCTGCAGCCCTGGCAGGGTCTCCAGGACTGGGTAGCAATCAGGCTGTACCTGCAGTGCAGAGCCCTGAGTCCAGCGGCTCCACCCAACTTTTGCTCTAGGGTGTGCAGCCCCAAAAGATCGACCCTTATCCCCTGTTCCTGAGCCGGGGTCGCGGAGTTCCGTGGCGTGTGCCAGGATCCTTTCCCTCCGTGTCAGCTAGGGTAGCTGCGCAGGGATGTCTGGCAGGCGCCACTCCTTGCTTCTCGCGGGGGTTCCAGGTTGCTTCGGTAAAGGGACCTGGGTCCTGTTAAGGGGCCCTGGGTCACCGCAGTCCTAACGGTGGAGAGAGGTGTGATGACAGGCGGAGCTTTGCAGCAGGGGACTCCGCCCTTGCACGGTTCCCGCAGCGTCTGGGTGGTGGCGTCTGGCAGACCCTGAGAGACCCAGGTTCGCCGCTGCGGGTCTGAGTGCCAGAGCCTGTATGTGTGTCAGTCCCAGCGCTGTCGCTGTCTGTGTGCGTTGTCCTTCCAGCACCTCACTCCTGAGCGTCTCAGCCCTGCCTTTCCCGCCGCACCCACCCAAAGGGATCTGACAGCCTCTGTGCGATGCTGGAAAATCCCACTTCCCTGCAACCCAGCAGCGCCTGTGCTCAGAGAGAAACTGAGATCGAGAGCTGGAAGGCTTTGGCTCAGAAGTGGAAGCATCTTCACATCACCTCGGGATGCACCCATCTGACAGCCTCATGAGTGCGGCCTGTTGGGAGGGCTGATCCTTGCATTCCCCAGCAGAGAGGGGCAGACCTCCATTTTCAGGAGCTACAGCCAGATTTCAATGACTTGAGTTCTGGCAAGTGATAGAGATTTGAACCCAGGACTTCTTGATTCCAGCTTGCCCCCCCCAAGCCCAAGCTGCTACTGACAGACAGCAGTGTGGCCCTTGTTCACATTGCATAAACCAATATGAACAGCTGCTTCCTCTGGGAGAAAGTGTATAGGGAGGGTTTGAGCTTGGGACAGCTCTCAGCCTGGAGTACCTCCTCCCAGGAGACTGTCCCCTCTCCTTCCTCAGCAAGGAAGGAGAAACTTCTGCAGTGGATGTTAAGAGTAACTAAGAGCAAGAGGCATGGGAAGCGGGACCCCCCCCCCAGACGGTCAACCTGTTACCTGGGTGTGTACGGGAAGAGCATCCTCAGACTTGGCAGGGTCTCTAGACATTTATCTAATGGCGGTGGGGATAATGACTGGGTGCATGTAGGGTAATTCCATGCTTTCAGACCATAATTGATACCTCTCTCCCTCCTGTAATCAGGTTACCCTCAGAGGGAGCACAGGTGCCCACTCCCTGCATTTGTAGTTTTTGTCCCCAGGGGAGGAGGGCTGGGGTTATAATGGCAGGGAGACTGGGCTTTGAGCTGTGGTGTGTTTGTGTCTGGTGGTCTTGGCACTGGGGCGTCTTCCCAGCCATGGTCTGCTCATCCGGAACTTCGGTTCCTCTCTAAGCAGGAAAACCCTGCACACAGCAGCCCCTCAGGAGTGTGGATAGTCATTGTCATTCTAGGTGCACTTTTGGAAAATGGAGCTCAAGTGTTGTCTGACTCACCTGTCCCTCATGTCTTGGCTCTGGCCAGCCTATTACATACACAGTGGCGAGTCGCCTTTGTTTGCAGTGGAGGGGAGTGGACAGAGGCACATGGGTTCTAGTGCGTGGCTGCTGTGAACATTTGGCAACTCAGGAGCTTTTGCTATCAACAGGGAAAGACTTCCCTGTGCCTCTCTGGGAAAGGCTGGCATTACTCTGGGATCTGGCACAGATAGGTGTCATGGGGTGATACTGGACCTGGCCATGCCCAGACTGGTAGGTGACGGGAGCACCTGGTAACCTGTACAACCTCCTGAGCTAAGTTCCTTCACAGCTGTGATGAGGACAGAGTGGGTGCTGCTGGGGTCTGACAGCACAGTGCTTCTCCATGCTGGATCTGGTGTGACACTGATGCCTGTGGATGCCACCCTGACTGTGTTTGCCTGTTGATCTCAAGTGTCCAGGGAAGAGTTTACAAAATACCAAAGCAAGGTACAAGGAGATGATACTCCATGGCAGACAGAATCCAGCATACTAGCCATGCAGTTCTCCGTACCTCGGTTTCCCCAACTGTTGGAGGAATCTCTGTAGCTGTGTGTGCAGTGCCAGTCTTCACACAGTGAGCCTGCAAAGTGGTATTGGGAGCAGAGGTTGCTTCCTTGCATTGCATTCCTTGTGACCACGGTGGGGGGAAGGGGGCGGGAAGGCTTCTGAACCAGGAGTGGACATGATGAACCCTGTATTGCCTCTGCCAACAGGCACTGGGTCTTGAGTAAGGCCTGTGTACTTGCTAAGCCTAGATGTCCCTGGAGGTGGCTATAGGCCTTGTTGAGCTGAGGTAAAGGAGTGTATGTTTGTGTGTCTGTATGTCTGTATCTGTGTGTATTTGATTCTGTAATTAGGTGCCGCAGACCAGGGACTTTATGGAGAAAGAGACTTTATCTTTGGACAGGGTTAGAGCCCCAAAAACCAAGATCAAGGCATCAGCAGACTGATTTCTCTCTCCTTGGCTTGTAGGCAGCATCTTCTCCCTGTGTCCTCACAGAGTTGTCCCTCTGTGTGTCTGTGTCCTGATATCCTCCTCTTCTAAGGACACCATGCTGATTGGATGAGGGCATGAGAGTAACCTCATTTTATCTTGATGACCTCTCATCTCTGCATACAGACACAGACTAAGGTGTTGGGGTCAGGACTGCACTGTGTGAATTCAGCTCATGACATGTAGAGGCCTGGGAGCCTGACTCAACCACCTTTTACTCCCATGGCTACTGTGTAGGCACCTGGAAGGGACCTGAGGATGCTCTGGATGTGAGAAGAACAGACACCCATTAGGGTCAAGGAAGAGTATGTTGTACAGTCATCTAACACACTTGGAATGTGGCACTTGCTCCTCCTATCCCAGGAGTGGGTAGCATTTGGCCACAAGCTGTCTGCCTGGGCACCACTAACATAGCAGAGCAGGTCACCAGCCACGGAGGGGAATGTAGGATTTCATCCTGGAAATATTTACTAGGTACCCAGCATGTGCCTGCACTGCTCCAGGCTCTGAGACTTTGCAGAAAACAAAAACGTGAAACTTGCATCCTAGGGAGGTGTGGAAGGCACTAACAATGGATATGATGATCTCTCAGTGTTAGCAGAAAATGTCTAAGAAAACCTATTTCATTAAGAAACAGCTGAGGGGAGCTGGAGAGATGGCTGAATGATTAAGAGCACTGGATGCTCTTCCAAGGATTTGATTCCCAGCACCCACATGGTAGCTCACAACCTTCTGTAATTCCAGCTCCAGGGGAATTCGGTGCCCACTTTTGGCCTCCTTAGACACCAGGTGCACAGGTGTGCACAGACAAACATGTTGACAAAACGCTGGTACACATAAAAAATAAAAGCAAACAGTGGAGGGTGAAACTGCATATCTCATGTCATCTCAGCTCTCCCACACAAGAAAGAAAGGCTTAGAAGGAGAATCACCAGCATGTCTGAGGTGGCGTCTGAGAGCCACTCACGGCCCGCTCTTCTTTGTAATGAGATGTAGAGTCAAAAGCAGGAAGCAGTGTTGCTTTGTTTCTGGGAATGGTGTACGTGGGTTTGGAAACCCATGATTGCAGAGAAATGGGATGCTCCATTCTGTAGGAGTCACTGCCTTTTGCACAGAGCACAGAGGGGCATCTCATTGTCCATGTCCATATCTGGGCAGACATACCATATCCCATCTCCGCTAACAATGCCACTGTGTAAGGTACAAGAGATGAATCCCCTAACACTGAAATGTGTCAGGAGTCACATTTGGCCAGGACTCCGAGGACCATAGACTGTCACTCTCTAGTTCCATCTTCTCTGTATTCCCAAGCTCTGACATTTTTCCCCATGATGATCAAGGTTAATTCCTAAGCTAGCTACCCCAAATTAAGTTTCTGCTAATGAGGTAGTTTGGTATTTTCTAGAATTAGGTTTGAAGTTGGTGAACTCTTGGTAAGTCCATTCTGATATCCCAGGAAAGGGAATGTCCCCTGATCCTTTGAGTGTTCCTAAACCACCTGCCCAACACACTGGAGAGCTCTGAACTGGCAAGGAGGAGGGCCAGCCCTGAGGATGGCCCTGTCCTGTCACTGGCCCTTTAAAAGGGGCCATGGCCTATTCTCAGGGCCAGGCCAGGCCACAGTTGCTGACACTGGCAGCTGCTGGAACTCAGGGATGCTGGCCCCATGCCCACCTGCTCTAGAGTCTGTGACTGTCCTCTGCACAGGCTCCTTGTGCCCCTCCTGTGCTTTCTTGTACCAGCCTCATCAGAGGTGTGGTAAGGCCTTCCCCTGAGTCGGGCCTCCTGGGCTGGCTTCTTGCCTCTGCTGTCCTCTGTATTTCCCTGATCATATATCAGGGTCTTGGGGGACCAAGGGTGCTAGGCGCTCATTACCACTGCTAACTGCCTGGCAGAGCCTCACAGAGCAGGTAAAACAGCCCCCGCAGGAAGACAGTGTGACAGGCAGTGTTAACTCTTAGATTTACTCACCATCATGTGCTGTGATGGGGGCTTCTTGGCTGCTTCAAGCACTCTGGGCTTCAACCAAGTTGCTGCGTAGAGCCCCAAGGCTTCCGGTCCCTGGCAGAGTAACTGGAGCGCCTCATCTCTGTTTACTCCAGGAATGTTTCCACCACCACACAGCTCAGGGCTTCTAGGGTATCCTCAGCACCCAGGCAGGACAGACAGGCTTATATGTCACCTCAGCAGCCATGCTCATGGGGTACTTCCTCAGGGCCCCGGGCCAGACTGGGGATCTGCTTTCTCCTGTGTTTTCCTCATACCTCACAGGTCTAGTGCTGGATTCCCTCACACAGAGGGAAACTGAGGCCTTGCAGGTCCCGGCAGTTCCTGGCGTCACAGGATTGGTAAAGAGGAGGAGCTGGAATATGAACCTCAAGGGGCTCAGCTGCCCTGTGTCTCTTTGGTAGAGTGGATTGTGTCTGGTCTTTCTCTGCCTGTGTTGTGTGCCTTGGCCATCAGCTGGAGCACTTTCTGTTGCTTGGAGACACGTGGATGACAGCTTTATGTGCACAGGCCCAACCCTGAGGCTTTACCTCAGAGCATCTTAGAGGGATTTGCACATCTGTCTTCTCACCTGAGCCAGGGAGCCTTGCTCCAACTTCCCAGATACAGGGCTTGCTGGCACATATCTCCAGCAGCCTCCTCTGCCTTCTACAAAGTCTCCCCCTGGATTTGTTGATACACACGTTGACAGCTCTGATTACAAGAGAGGGACTCTTAGCATGTTCAGCTCACATGCCTTCCTATAGGTCATCTGGACTCCTGGTCCCTTCAGGAGTCCAGCTCGAACTCCTGCATCAGACTCCCCCAGCATGCCTGTGGGACCTTGACCCTCCAGAGTCCACTATCCACTTGACGGGGCAGTCACAATGCCTACTTCTCTTCTGGTTCCCACAGCCCCGCCCAGCCAGGGTGTCCCTTTGGGCAAGTTATTGCCCCTCCATGAGCCTTCGTGTACCTGTGTGTAAGGACAGGGGCACCTTGGAGTATGTGATACTGCCTGGCCAGGAAGTTGGTTTCTGAGACTGATACCATTTCAGGTAAACGTGCCTGCCAGTCTTCCACGTCTGACGTTTCTACAATGTTCCCTTCTGGGGAAGATTGTAGCCTGTAGTTTTCCCCACCAGCTGCCTGGGCCCTGCTGCAGTTTCAGCCCCCAAATAACATACAGGGCACTATATTAATTATAAGCTGTTGACCATTTGTTATTGTTTCTCATTAGCTAGCTCTGACTTAATTACTGACCCATAATCACCAATATATATTTTTATAAGGACTTATCTTTCTGAGAACGCAGACTTGCGTCCCCTCTTTCTGGAAAGCACATAGTGACGGCTCCTTTCACTACATTTCCCAGAGTCCTCCTAGACTCCTAGTCCCACCTATCTTGCTTCCCTATTGGCTAACAGTGCTTTGTTTACATATACACAGAAGGACTTCCCCATCAGAAGATTTTTGGCCTTCACACTTTGGTTCTGCTGTGGAAGGACTGACAGCCTAACAGGGAAGGGGCACCTGAGTTGCATGCACAGGAACTGACTTTTTGGCTCTGAGGGAAGGATTAGGGCAGGTGGAAGTTGGGCTTTCATTCTAAGACCCTCATTTTTAGCCAGGTGGTGGTGGTGCACGCCTTTAATCCCAGCACTGGGGAGGCAGAGGCAGGCCGATCTCTGTGAGTTTGAGGCCAGGCCAGCCTGGTCTACAGATCGAGTTCCAGGACAGCCTCCAAAACAATACAGAGAAACCCTGTCTCGAAAAACCAAAAGAACAAATCAAAGACCCTCATTTTTGCTGTTTGGCTCAGCACTGGGGCTGGTCCTGGATGCTCTCTGCTTGGGGGCTTTTGGCTGGTGGTGAATAGGTGTGTCCCAAGCAGGTGCTGTGTTGATGCTATCAGGGGGTCCCTCGCCACCTGCTCTAAGGCTGAAGAGTTCCCCGTCTGAAGGTAGTTTGTACTCAGTGGAGAGCATAGGCACCCCTTGGCACACTGGGGTTCTAGCCCTCCTTATTAGGTATGCTCCTCCAATTGCCCTTTACTTCAGTTTTCCCACCCACGAGCAGAGCTAGGACAAGCTTTTTGGGATTCTTCAAGACCTGACAGATACTTGGAAGCAGGAGTGTAGGGACATCTGAAACACCCTGCACCACTTGGGGACACCCAAAGTGGTCCCCTGCTCGGTCAGCTTACCTTCTAAGTCACTTTGCAGTGTGCCTCTCTTTTTACCACTTCCTAGCCCAGCACACCCCCAGATCTGTTTACACATCTGATCTCTAGGGAGTGCCCAGGCAGGGCATCAGCCGGCAGCGTAGTCTCAGGGGCAGAGGTCCCTGTGGTGTGTTGAGTCATGTCTCCTGAGTTGAGCTTGGGATCCTCACACACAGGAGCAGGGAGGGACAGTGAGGCAGCAGTGTGATTCCAGTCAGCAAGCTGGAATAGAAGCTACTGTGCCTGCAGGAGTCTGTTCTCAGGGCAAGGCTGGCCTGAGAGCCTCTCAGAGTGTTCCTGATAGAGAGATGGCTCCTTGATACCTGTCCTGGAAGAGGGAATGGATGTAGATGGAGACTGCCTCAAGCTTGGCTCCTCTGTCACTCAGAAAATATGATTCAGAGTCCCCAGGATCTGGCATGGCAAATGACACCCTCAAGCCTGTTCCCCACCACCACCACCATTGGTACTTTAGTAGACACAAAAGCAGAGGCCCGAGGACCACCTTCATTGTCACCGAGATTTCTTGTGACATTCCAGTGCTTTGTCTCTCGTGGTCTTGGCTTCAGTTCCCAGTGGGTACAGAAGGGAGGTGGTGCTGTTGGTTATGTAGGCGAGGACCCTGGGAAACTGGAGGGAGAGAATGTTGGGGGAGGGGCCAGAGGGAGTCTCAGGATGGGTGGGCATCGCCAGGGGTGATGGGCTTGATTCTTCTGCAGCCGCTGGGAATGTATTAATATCCTCATAGTCCCATGAGGAAGCTGAGGTCTTTCTCCTAGGCAGTGACTCCCCTAGGAGCAGGGTTTGCTGGGAGAGCTTAAATCCCACACTGTCCTGGGTGGTGTGAGCAAAACTCCCCGAGGTGGAGGAAGGTGTCTCTGCAGGGATGCTGGGCAGTGTGCTTCAAGAAGGGAGCGGGGAGGGGACAGGTGAAAAAGTTACAAGAGGTGGGGGAAGGACATAGGAGGAGAGGAGAGCAAAGAGGAAGGAGGACGGGAGGGGTAGAGGGAAGGAGAAGAGGGAGAGGGGAGAGGGAAGAGGCGGAGATGGAGAAGGAGGAAGAGGGAGGGAAGGGAGAGGAAAAATAGGGGGAAGAGGAATGGCAGGGTCACATTGAGGCGGCTGCCACCTAGTGTTTCTGGCAGAGCCAGGTGGGTCTAGCCTCAGCCTGGCTGAGGCTTCCTTTGTTGCAGGAATGAAAGTCTGCCCCTTCTCAAGCTCAGAGCTGTTCCCAATGATCTGGAAGTCTTCGTTCACTGGCTCTTCTGTCCTCGCTGCTCTAGGGCCACATGACCACGGAGCCTCCCGGCTCTGTCACCTCCCTCCTAGCCTTTGAACCCATGGAGTTCTCTGCTGAAGACTCAGGTCGGTTTCTGGCTGCTGTGCAACCCAGGGCTGCTACTGACCCTCTCTGATGTGTGTCTTCTTAGACGATGCAAGGGCTGGATACTGGCTCCCGGGGGCCTCCTGTCCTAATTCTTGGAAGTTGTCACAGTGTCAGCTTTACGTGGGTAGAGGGAGTGTTCGGATGTGACTAAATGAGGACCTTGCCGTGGGGACGTGATTCTGGGTTATCCGGTGGGTCTTCATTGGTGAAAGGCAAGTCAGAAGAGATGGAAAAGTGACAACCAAAACAGAGCCAGGAGGGGAGCTTCTGGACCGCTGGCTCCAAATGTGGAGGAAGGGTCAGAAGCCACGGGATGCAGGAGGCCAACAGGGCAGAATCAGCCTTGCTGCCCCCTAAGTCCTCCTTTGTAGTCACCCCAAACCATCTTCCCTGTGGGAGAATCTTGCTTTGATGGAGTTCATTCCCGACTCTAACATCACTGTGCCAGGAAGCCCTCCCAACATCCCCATGGGGCACCTCTGAGCATAGAAGGCATATGAAATTCTTCACTGTGTGTGGTTCTGTGTTCCCAGGGTAGCATGGAGCATAGCTGAAGCTGGAGAGGTTCTTGTCTCTCACCCCTGAACAACCCTGACTCTGGGTCTGGTTGTGTCCTGCTGGGCTCTCATGCCTCCCCTGTCTTAGATGTGGGGCCTGGCTGGCTCTTGATGCTCATGGTGAAGGGAGATGGTCTAAAGCCAGGGCCTTTCGTGCTGGCCTTGGTCACCTGGAAACTGTAATACAGAGCCAAGGTCCAGGAGGGTGCTCTGGTTGTCCCCGGTAGCCAAATGGAACAAGCAGAGCAACACAGATGTGTCCACTAGTGGCTTGGGACAAGCCTGGCTGACGCCAGTGTGTCGCTGTGCCTCTCACAGTCTGAAGTACGGCCAGTGCATGTCTCTTCCAGATTGGGTGACTGTCTGCATTCCTGGCTTGTAGCCACATCACTTCAGTCTCTGAGGCCAGGGTCTGCAACCCTCTCTTCCACCTTCCCATGGTGACCTGGGTATGTAAATTCTCGTTGCTTCCTTCTTGTAACAGTAGCTGTTATGCCACCAGACAACCCTGAGTGACAAGGATTTTAACTCCATAACATCTTAATCAAACCACAAAACCACCATTACCCACATAAGTACCATATTTCCACATATTTTGAGGGCATCTTTTGGAGCCCATCTTTTGGAACAGTCTGTGGGTAGATACATTTCCTCTTGTGGTACGTATAGTCTGAGAGTGTGAGAATGACTTCTCACGGGGTAAAAAGTGTTTCTCTCTCTCTCTCTTTTATTTTTCGAGACAGGGTTTCTTTGTATTGTTTTGGAGGCTGTCCTGGAACTCGCTCTGTAGACCAGGCTGGCCTCGAACTCACAGAGATCCACCTGCCTCTGCCTCCCGGTGCTGGGATTAAAGGGTGTGCCACCAATGTTTCTCTTAGCTCACTAAGTTTAAGCGCCCTGTATGCCTTGAGCTTGCCTCTTGCATAGCTGGTGGACAGGGCTGTCTCTTGGGAAGCAGTGAGCCTGAAGTACCCAGGGCTGCTGAGAGCAGGGTGCTGCCTCGGAAGGTGCTGCCAAGGAGTGAGTGGCTCTGAGCATGGCTGGGGGCTGGGTACCAGAAACCACAATAGAGGGAAGGTGATGTCATCCACTGTCCATCCAGGCAGAGATCACAGGCCAAAAAAGCCACGGTCCATTCTAGCAGCGTCTCTGGGACTCCCGGGGCCCTAGGGCCCAGCATTGCTGAGGACCCTGATGTGCTTTTATGTGGGTTGCACTTAAGGTTATTTGCTGAGCTAGAAATTAAAATGCAGACTTTTTTAAAGCTGTTAGATTAAAAGTGTAATAAACGCTCTCATGTGAACCCGTGAGCATAGTTAGTGAGTGTGGAGTTGCTCCTCAGATTTGTGAATCTCCTTAGAACCCAGCTTCACAGACAGTGACCAGACTCTGATGTCTGGTTCTGTGATCAGTTGGTTGTGATATCACACATGTGGGCACTACTGCCTGGAGACAGTGAGGGTGACCATCAGCTTCTGTCATCACCAGAAAGGACCCATGGCAATCACTTATAAACAGGAAATGCTTCTGTGAGACCCCTCTGTGGGGTCCCAGGGCTTTCAGCCTCTGGTGGGGTGTGGGTGAGCTCCCCTCCATGGGGGTCCCGGGGCTTTCAGGCCTCTGGTGGGGTGTAGGAACAATGGTGGGGGCACATGGCAGAGTAATTCTTCTCATCTTGTGGCAGGAAAGCAAAAGGATGAGGAAAAGGCTGGAGCCTCACTGTGTGCTTTGAGGACACATTCTCTGTGGTCTGGAACTTCCCTTGGCCTCACCCCCAATGATTATGCCTCCATCTCCCAAGAGTACCACCTGAGGACCCAGCCTTCCTCGCTGGGGGCTTAGGGAAATAAAAAATCCAAAATAACCAAAACCAAACAAACAAAAAACAAAAAAATCCCAAACCAAACTGTAGCTCCCTGCATGATGCAAAACCTCATATCCATCTCAGAGTTCAGGCTACATTCCTCCATTCCCAAGACCCAACACGTCTCTCCTGTCCCTGTGCTTCCTAGAAGTTCAAATTCAAAATAAAAACAACAAAATCTACCAAACAAAAAGTCCAAGTTCAACTGGGCGGTGATGGCACACGGCTTTACTCCCAGTACTCGGGAGGCAAAGGCAGGCAGATCTCTGTGAGTTCAAGGCCAGCCAGTATACAGAGTGGGTTCCAGGACAGCCAGGACTACACAGGGAAACCTTGTCTTGAAAAAGAAAATCAAGGAAAAAAAGTCCAAGTTCAGAGCTTCTGAAACTCAAAGTTTCTAATCTGTGAGCCCCTATAAAATTTTTTAAAAAATGAAATTATGCCTTCTGAGGTAAACATTCTTATTTAAAATTGAGGAATAGGAAAAGCGGAGGTATCAGCCCAAAGCAAGACCAGAACACAGGAGAACAGACATTAACCCCTAAGTTTGCAAGACCAGCATCTGAGGTGCATTGCAGAAGGATTTGGCCGCTGAAGGTTTAGGCATCGCTGCCCCTTTGGCTCGCTGGGCTTCTTTCTATGCTACCTATAACTTCCCTCAGCATCTCTTCGTCTGTTTGGTCCTGAGGTGGGGGCACCACAGGCTGCTGCTTCAGTTTGTGGTCCTACACAGCACTCTTTTAGGGGCCGATTTCAGGGATTCCAGTCCTGTAGTACTGGCCTGGCCTTTCTGGGCCTTCCTTTGTCGTGCCAGTGAAAGCCATCATCACCCGTAACCCCACATCCTGTATCCCTGTGAAGCCAGCATCCTGTGGACAGTCCAAGACATGTGATGGGGTGGGGGATTGTGTTCCAGCTGGCTTGGACCACAGCTGCTGCGGTGGCTTCTGGATGCCTTACCGGCCCAATTTATGACTGGAGCACACAGGGGCATTTAGCTTATGAAGACAAAGTACCTATTTGGGTCTGGAGTTTTAGAGATACCAGTCCCTCATTGGGCAGGCCCATTGCCTTTAAGCCCCTTCTGAGTTGTCGATGGTGAGGGTGGGACATGTCTAGAAGAGTTTAAAAGCATGAAGCATGAGGAAGTGGAGAGGTTGGGACCTCACTATCTGCTCCAAGGCTGTGACAGTTACTATTGTCTAAAATCACCAGGGAGACAGGGCTGTGGGGGATCATCTGTGCTCACAGATTTGGGAAGACCCACCTAAAACAGGGAGGTCTTGGACTGTATAAAATGGAGAAAGTGACTGGTCACTGATGGTCACTCAGCTCTCTGATAATTGTGGATGCCATGTGGCCAGGCAACCTCCTGCTGCCTTTACCTCCCACTGTGATGCACTGTACCTTCAACTATGAGCAAAAATATCCACTTAAGTGCTTTTCTCAGAGTATTTCATCACAGCAACAGGACAAGAGATGAAGACAGGAGCTTAGCACTAGTGACCCAAGGACCTCCTCCTAGGTCTCTCCTTGTAAGGGTTCTTCCTCCCCATAGGACCACCCTGAGGACCAAGCCTTCAGACCTTGCACCTTTTGAGGACACTCAGTGTATGTCATAGTTTGTTGCTGTGAAGAGACACCATGACCAAGGCAATTCTTATAAAGGAAAGCATTCAATTGGGGCCTGCTTTCAGGTTCAGAGATTTAGTTCATTATTATCATGGCAGGAAGTATGACTGTTTGCAGGCAGACATGGTGCTGGAGAAGTAACTGAGAATTCTACATCTGGATACGCAGGCAGCAGGAAGAGACAGTGAACCACTAGTCCTGGCTTGAGTTTCTGAAACCCCAAACCCTCCTTCTAGTGACACACCTCCTCTAGCAAGGCCACAACTGCTTCAACAAGGCCATACCTCCCAATAGTCCCAGTCCCTATGCGCCTATGGGGACCATTTTCATTCAAACTACCACAGTATCCAAATCAGCAAATGGCCAGAACATCCTAGTCTTAGTAGCAAAATGGTCTTGACTTCACTAAGTCCCAAGAGGTTCTTGGAGATTACTAGGAATCTATGGACAGCTCTGAGAACATTTGACCAAGGATGGAATATTAAGCACTCATTAAAATTATAAGGGATTTTTAGAATGTACGTCAGTGCCAGTCGGTGATAGAGGCAAAATTTAGGATATACATTTGTACACAGCGGTGTCTTAGAGAGATATTTAAAACAAGGAAAATCCATGAAGAGATAATGACATTATGGCAATCCTTCCTTTCCTCCTAGCTCTGTATGGGTGATGGCTTTGTCCAGACTGGTCTCAAGTATGCTCCCCTGAGAGCAGCTGTTGGCCTCCCCATTCCCAGATGGCATTCTCCACTCACTGCAGAGCTAGGACTCTGAGTGACACCTGGCATTCTACCAGCCCTGGGATCCAAATGCTTGTGTGATGTGATCTCTGGTGACGATTTCATCCACAGTCATAAATGAAAGAAGGATTTCTGTGCAGGACTGAAGTCTACGTTGTTGGTGAGAAATTAGTTGCTGCTCTGAAA